TGATCTTGTCAAAACACACACCATCACGGCGGGAAACTCGCTCGCGAATGCCAATAGATCAATAAAGTGCTAATCAATTATCGATTTTTTTCAGAAAGAATATTTTTCCTGTGAGCTGAGCAACGCGACTAGCCTAACGACAGACTTATGCTATGATTTCTGTGATGCAGATGATGAACCAAGGTCCAAACAACAGGTGAGCAAAAGAGATTGGGTCGGCTAGACTATTTGTACTTAGGTTTCAAGTTCTTCAAAATTCTGCATGTAGTTTTCTAACCATAGTGGGCCAAAAATTCTATCGTAATGAGAAAATGGTCGTTCAAGCTGATTTCTACCTCGACCACATGAAACAACATGTGGTGGAATCATTCTCTAAAAATTTCAAGCTAGAAATTATTAAGGTGCTTATGTTACGCAAAGGCTTCTTGATAAATCCCTTAATAAGTCAGAAATGAACAACATTCATCTTAATGCAGTGCATCAATATGTGAAATGAGTTTCGCCCAGATTATTGTAGAAATCAGATTGAAGAATCAATTTAAACTAACGGTTTTGATGGGTGTTCGGTAGAGTTCAGATGTTTTGATCAAATTACTGTGGAAATCCGCTTAAAAATCCATCAGAATTGGAAGATGCAATTAGTATTGCATGCGTCTTATTTGGAAAGGGCTTGATTTGTTATGGTGGAAATTCGCTTTGATCAGGTTATAAGGTCTTGCTGTTACAGTAACACTGTGGAAAATCGCTGTTGTGATTCAATTTGTCTGGTATAGTATTGCACTATTTTGCTATTTCTTAGAATAATTAGGGAAAAGCCCCTTGGATAATCGACTTTATGTTATCGTTAGGTTGTTAACTTTCATTATGATGGCACGACTGCCGAGATTTTCCGTTACATTTCCCTTCTGCGTATCACATAAAATTCCAATAAACAAAATGTTCCAACCGAAAAACCCTCCTTACCGACTAATCGCAAATTGGGTAATTGTTCTATTTACGAGGGATTTTTTCTTCCCTCCACATTGAAACTTCGTAAATGGGGAAAGACAGCAGACGTAGAGGAATTGCGCACTCTCTACGTCGTTCCCCCCTACGCTAGTACTTCTCCGAAATCTTCTCCTAATGATGGGATTATTCAGCGGTTTCAATCTGAATCCGGGAGCTACACGGAGCTTACCCACAGGAGCATTTTGGCCTCAACCACAACCCCAACAGACAAGTGATGCACAATCAGAGCGAAGTAATAGTGAAGCATCACCGCCAATTGTTCCAACAAGGTTAGTGCTAGCTGTGAGCTTTCACATTCAATCAATAAATCGACTTACTTACGAAGGAATTAATCAATAAATTGATTTGTATAGCTTCAGCACCGCAGTGAATCACATGTCACACAACTACGCACCAGGCTACCCGGAATGGCAAGCGGCACAAAAAGCCTTCGCCGCTGCTCAAAGCGTAAATGGAGCCGCTGCTGGGGCAAAATTCCCCCCTGGACCTAGTGGTTGGTCTTAAAGCAAATATTTTTAGATTTTCAAGGTTTATAGCGCATTTGGTGCACAATCACTTTTTATGGTGGAAGTTTAGTAACTGACAAGCCAAAGTATTCACCGGTGGTTTATGGGCGTGGTGCAAATGCACACCACGTCCAAAATCCATGAAAAAGAAACAGCTTAAGGAGTTAGTGAGCATAAAATCAGTTAAAGACTTTCTTCTTTCTGTTATTTATAAAATTATCATGGCTTTACCGGAAAGGGTTCTAGGGTACGAGGGTTATTCCCACAGCAAAGGCACAAACCGCTCCTCAGAAACTTAAAAATATCCCAAAAAATTCAGGATTCGATATGATGTCCGCTGCGGTCAACCCGATGTGCCCATCCGAATTCTATCATCCAGGAATCACGTGGCCTGGTTATCAATACGGTCAACAGTATCCATTCGCTACAGGACCATATGCACAACATATGATGGATATTCCCGGGTTGACAGGTTAGTAGATTCTTGAAGATTTTCATTATGTTGAATTGTCAGATTGAAAGCAATTTGAGGTCCTCAGAATCAAAGCTTATGTGGTCTGGCTAGGGTTAGAATAAGGCGTCAGAAGAAAGCAAAAATTGTATAATTTGGAATTTAGATGGTAGTCGATCTGTAGCCAGAAGTCGGAATAAATAGAAAAGTTACCGAAAATTCTCCATGAGCGGATAAGAACACAGTCAGTTAAGGTTTAAAGGTCTAGAACCTTCAAACAAGTAATCTTAAAGCAAAGTTTTCCATTGAAGTTGGTCTGAAGACCTGGAGAAGGTGAAACAAAGTCAAAGATACCAAATTTTCCAACAGAAATGAATGCATTTACCGATGGCAAAGGAACTCAGCAGTGCCAAAGAAGGTTCTACAAGTAAACAAAAAACAATATACGTCTGTCAGTTGAGGATGGGAGACGAGCAAATAGGCGAATCGATATCGCGGCGTACCATTTACGATGGTCATGAAACAGCCCATCGGACGCATCAAAACTGCCTACGTAGTCTGTATGTGTGAGTGTGTGTAGTCGTTCATTCGCCTATACAGCAGCTCACTCGCCTCATACAGTTCTGCCATCTCCCAACTCATCAGAGCTTTTCCCCAGCTCCCCGTTGATCCTACCAACCTATCGCTCTCTATCTCGAATACGGTACCTACCGTATCTCGATGCATCGTCGTCGTCGCATTGCGCACATGTGTGTCTGTGTGTCGGCACGGTTCTTTTAAGTTACAACACACAACGCGGCCAGGAACAGCTCATGTGACATCTCTGTGTGTATGTTTTTTTTTACCGTAATCTGGTTCTGGAAGGGAAGAAAAATCCTTTGTCTCTTCCACAAGTTGGCCTCCGTAGTAGATAGTACAGAATTCGCTCTGCTTATCGAATCATAAATAATCAGGCGGGTGGTGCCTCCGCTTTTCGCTCATATAAACTAATGTTGACGGTCTAGAGTTACTTGGCCTAAATTTGGCAACACGAGAGTTAGAGTATGGATGTTTTGCCGGATTTTCGAAAAAAAGAATACGCTTCTCCTTGCGCATCTAGAAATTTTTTTAAAAATTATCTCATATGGGAAATTACGAGCGAATTGCAAGATCTCTAGCCTTTTACCATGAGCGATTGTACGATACCAGCATACATTCCTTACTCCTTTCCTTCAACAAAAACTCAAATAAACCGTAAAATATGAACACCTAATCGCTTAGTTCGTAAAACTGTTACAGTAACTGGGAACAGTGGAACCAACTTACGAGTTGCGCAAGTACATCTGGAAAAAAGCACAATT